CATCCATCCATCCATCCATCCATCCATCCATCCATCTATCTATCTATATCTATTCTCGCCCATCCATCAATCATCGTCCGTCTATCTGTCTGTCTATCTATCTTCTCTCCCATCCATCCATCCATCTTTATCTCTACCATCTATCCTCTCTCACATCCATTTTTATCTACCTATCTACCTACCTATCATCTCCCATCCATCCATCCATCCATCATCTGTATCTGTCTGTCTATCATCGATCTGTCTGTTTGTCTGTCTGTCTGTCTGTCTATCCATCCATCTATCTTTTTTCCATCCATCCATCTATAATCTGTCTATATCTATGTATCTATCTGTCCATCTATTCTCTCCCATCCATCTATCGTCCATCCATCCATCTATCCTGCCTTTATTATTTTTTTAAAAATAATTTATTATTAATTTATTAAGAGGGGCTGGCCTCGAACTCACCGTTTCCTAGTGATTAGCCCCAAATCACCCAGCCGGTCTTCATTCCTGAGGCGGGACTAGAATTCACCGTCTCCTGGTGATTGACCCTCGGCCAGCACGCACACGCACACACACACACACACACACACACAATTAATCCTTGGGCTTAGGAGAAAACAGAGCCATCAGGGTTGGTTCACTCCTTCGAAGGACGACCATGTTGGAAGGACTTGTCCACCGAGTCTGTTCAGTTGCTGCTGGATATCTACCCTAGCTTCCCTCCAGGAACAACGATCCCCTTGGTGTTTTCCCCTATAACACCAGCCCTGTGAGGTAGGCTAGGTTGATTGCCCAGGAGCCCCCTAAGGAAGTCCCTTTCCTGAGCCTGGACTCCACGCCCATTGGCCCCAGGCCTCCTTCAGTGGCTCTTCTGCTGATCTTCCTCCGTTCCTCGCTTCGCAGATCTTGGGGTCGCAAAGGAGCGTCCTCCAAGCGCCCACATCCAGCCTGCGTCCCCTGCTGTCAACTTGTCGGTCAGCAACTCCCCGGATTGTCTTCCCTGGTGGACTCCGGAACCTGCCAGAGGGAGGAGGAAGGAAGATGGTGAGATTCTTCTGGGCCTCAGGATAGCAAGGTAGACACTGATCCTTCAAGAGCTGAGACGTCTTGGTGTCCGTCTCTTGGAAGAATATCTCCTCGGGCCAAGGGTTGCGGTTGGGATCTCGAGCAGGGATGACGGTGTAGCAACTCAGAAGTCCTCACGATCAAGCTCGGTGGGGGGGGTCTTTCACCACTCGTCTTGGCCGTGGTAGTTTGGCCTGTTCACCTCCCTGTCTCCTACAGAGCTCGGCCAAGCCCAGAGTCCTTTGCAAAGCCTCGGGAAGGGGCTCAAGGAGACCCTGTTGGGTTCCCCCAGCTGGACTTCTTCGCCAGCCGCTAGCCGCTCTCCAGATGGTTTCCAAAGATGGCCGCCAGGGCCAATGCAGAGGGCCAGGAGGGAAGAAGGTGAGAGGGTTGCGAGGGCTCAGGTCTGGTGGGCTCCCGGTTGCCATGTTGACCTAAGAACCCCCCCCCCCCCATTGTAGGACTTGGTCAAAGCGGCACCCCTTTGCAAGGCCTGGAGAAGTGCTTGAAGGACATCCAGAACCAGCGATGGTCCCCGGCCATCACGTCCTCCATGCACAGCTCGCCGGACAGACTCCGGCAGTGGACGCCGGAGCCAGCGCCGTGGGCCAGGAGGGAGGGAGGTGAGAGGTAGCTCCGTGCCCCACGCTCCCCAGTGGGATGCTTTGACGGTTGGGAAAGGGAGGGAGAAGTCCAGCCTTCTGGGAATGCTCCTCTGGGGTGGCCCATTCTCGGTTCTGCCCCCACGGTGTCTATGGGGGAAGGGGAAGGAAGGATCCAGTTGAGCTCAGTTTCAGTCCTTCTTGGCTGTCCGTCTGTCCATCCATCCACCTACCCATCCATCATCTCTCTTAATCATTATCTATCTATCTATCTATCTATCTATCTATCTATCCACCCATCCCTCCATATCTCTTTCACCTCTCTCATCACTCTCTCTCTCTCATCTTTCTCTGTTGTCTATTTATCTATCTGTCTGTCTGTCTGTCTGTCTCTGTCTATCCACCCATCCATCCATCCTCTCTCTCTCTCATCTATCTAATCTATCCATCCATCATATCTCTCTTTCATCTCTCTTTCTATCTCATCTTTCTCTGCTGTCTATCTGTCTGTCTTATCTATCCATCCCTCCATTCATTCATTCTCCCTCCCTCCCTCCCTCCCTCCCTCCCTCCCTCCCTCCCTCCCTCTCTCTCTCTCTTTGTCATCTGCGTATCATCTAACAGACTCCTTTGAGGAGTGGTGGTCTGTGATCACTTGGAACAGTTGCGAAATGATCTGTCGCGACTTGAGGACACCCTGCGAAAGCCGAGCACTGTGGGGGTAAGGGGTGGACTGCAGACTGTAGTAACTACTCACCTTTTGCAAAACAGGAGGGAGCCCCGCGAGGGTCCCACCGCTTCAGGGCCTGGAGAAATGCCTGAAAGAGATCGCCCCACGCAGAGAGTTCCTCGCGGCTCCTGGCCCCTCAGGGCGCGGCATCTGCACTCCGAAGTGGATGGGAACGGAAGAGGCCCGCTCTCCAAGGCCGTGGCCTGCAGGTATAAGAGGGAAACTGGGGGAAGGCCGGGCTCCAGAAGTCGTGGAGAGCTTTGGCCTAATGGTTAGCACCGAGATTCTAAGTCCTCAGTGATGACTCTGGAGCAGGGGGGTCTTCAAACTGGACAGCTTGAAGACTTGTGTGCACTTCAACTCCCAGAATTCCTCCTCCGGTCATGGTTAATCTCAGGAAGTCTGGGAGTTGAAGTCCACAAGGCTGAAAACTTGCCAAGTTTGAAGACCCCCTTGCTCTAGAGCAGGGACCGCCAGCCTTTTGGACCTCAGGGACCACCAAACTCATAATTTTAAATCCCAGGGATCACTAACTGGTTCTGTGGGCGTGGCCTAATTTGTGGGGGTGGCTTGGCCATGTGACTGGCTGGGCATGGCTTATATGTAAATATTATAAATATTTGTATAAATATTTGTATAAATATTGAATTTTTTATTAAAAAAAGAGGAACTTTTACCCCAAATCAGGCAAAGCAGGCAGGCAGATTGAGTTGTTCACAGAATCATTCAGTGATCTATCTATCTGCCATCGGCTACTTGAGTCTGTCACATAAAATTTGCTTGCCGTGAGTCTGCACTGAATAATAGAAGCTTCAGTCCTAAGGAAGGTTTGGCTGTGCTTAAAAGCAGAGCCGAAGATCTAAAGACTAGCTAGAAAGCAAGAAATCCAACCATTTCCTGCTTCCTAGCTAATCTAAATCTCCCGGCACAGCAGAACAGCTGATGGTCGGAAAAAAGAAAAATAGCAAGTTTGCCGGGTAAGGAGTGAGTAGGCAGGGAGGGTTTCCGCGGGCCATATGGGCTTGGGTTCCCATCCTCTGGGGGTGAGATTTCTCTGTGGCCCACTAAAATTTTCTCAGAGCCCACCAGTGGGCCGCAGCCCACCGGTTGGTCACCACTTCTCTAGAGAATCAAGCTTGGATATGTGGGCAGGAAGATGGAATTCCTCTGCAGTTGCCTTCAAGCCGTCTCCCTCAACCCTCGGGGCTGCAACAAACCGACATTTCAGTCTTAGCTACTTTCAGATATATGGACTACAACTCCTAGAATTCCCTGCTGGGGATTTAGATAGGTAGGTAGGTAGGATGATGGATGATAGATACATATGATGGATGGAAATAGATTATAGATACAACGGATGGATGGTTTGATGAATGATAGCAAGATATGATGGATTAGTTGATGAATAGATATGATGGATGGATTGATGGATGATAGATATGATGGATTGACGGATGATAGATACGCTGGATAAATTGACGAATAGATACGATGGATGGATGGATTGATGGATGATAAATTTGATGGATGATAAATACGATGGATGGATTGATGGATGATAGATATGGTGGATGGATTGATGGAT